TAATTTTTATTAATTTTTATTAATTTTTATTAATTTTTATTAATTTTTATTAATTTTTATTAATTATTAAAATAAATTTTTTTCTGCCTATTTATTTTATAAATACACCGAAATATCTGTGTTTTTTAACAAATACCGGATTATCGATGAGTTGTGAGTCGAAAGCTTTTTTTCAATTGTTTACTGTACATAATTTATATATAATATCATTATAGAAACATATTATATTTAATTACTTTTGTGAATAATTGGAAAGTGAAGTGTAAATCAAATGTTAAATAATATTTAATAATATTATTATACAAATGTTTTATTACTTTTATTCATTTATTTATTAAAAATCAATATACATTATAATAAATCCAATTGTTTTGCGTGTTTTATAAATATATATTAAGTAATATCAGAACATTAAATACACAAACACAAAATATATTTAATTCTATATTTATATCAATGTTAATATTAATTTTAATTGTTTTATATGTATTATTGCATAAATAATATTTTTTGTAATATTTAATAAACAGAAAAATTATTATTTTTTATTACTTTTTTGTAAATGAAAAGTGAAGCATAAATCTTAAACTAAATATTATATAAATATAGAACCTAAGTAATAGGCTATTACTATTACATTTTTAATTCATCTAAATATATAAAAATTATATTTTTTAGCCCATCAATCACAACATTGTTTGTTGTTTTATTTATTTTTTATGAACAGACTTTTAATACATATTTAAATATTTTATCAAATGCTTATAAAGCGTTTTCAACACAAATACAACACAACTCTTAAAAACTATTTCTAAAACTAATTCAATAAATAAATGACAAAAATATAATTGAATACAAAAACAATTGGTTTGACTACTGGTTCGGGTGGACGACAGGGGGTAAGGGGTCTGACTGTGAGATGTCGTACGAGTAGAGGAGTGGGCGGTCGGTGTGGACGCGGACTGTGCTGTGGTTGACGTCGAACTCATTGGAAGTACTGATGAGTGAACCGAAAGACATGACATCTTGGCTTAGATTCCAGCGAAAGCCAGTTGTGGTGACCCGTGTGGGGGCGCCCACCGGCACCAGTGAACACCATTTGGACGCCCCGTGAGACTCAATCACGTGAGTGCCCTATAAAGTGACAAATTATTTGTTTGATTAATAGTTTGTAATTATTTTCTGATATCTCTATCACTTTCGTAGCGAATAGAAAATGCTATGAAATATAAGCACAAAGTGTTTGAATTGAAAGTAAATTAAAATAAATAAATAAAAAGTGTATTAAAACTGTATTAGTCTAACACCTAATACCTAATACCTAACACCTAATATGTACACTATTAGGCTTTCCCTTATATAGTGAACAAAATGATAGGTCTTTACCACAACTTAATCACAAACTCTATACTAAACCACAGTTTAATACTTTGTAAAAGTTTTCTCAAATATCCAATTTTTGGCACAAAATAAAGTTACAAATAAATGGGTGTATAATGACATGCCTTATGCAACAACCAGGTGACCGACCCGTGGAGTTGCAGCAAAATGATGGGCACGTACTGCCGGCCCCCATCGGCACCGGCATCCACGCCATTGTCCAACTCATTGCTGTACAGCGTATTGATGTTAGACAGCACTTGATCTATACGTCCCAATGAGGACCAGATGGCTATTATGGCCCCACAGGCCTGCCGTTGCCGGTCCTCCCCCGCCGCCGCCGCCACCGCCCCTCCATTACTACTACCGGTGCCGTTGGTGTCGACGTTATTGTTCTCATAGACGGCCCGCTTATTCAAATGGAGCACTATTTTGACGGCTTTCTGAAAGTCGGTGTAGTCCTGGTCCGGGGTCTCCATGATTTTGGTGCCGTTCCGCCGGAAGTACTCCAACCGTTCCGTTTGCACCGAATCGAAGTCACCGTTCAGTATGTCGGGGAACGGGTGCTCCTGAGGGCAGCGCAGGTACTTCGAGCCCCCGTCCACTGCCACCCGGCGCTCGGCTGCCATACGAAATGAATGGAGAAAAATAAGTTAATAATAATTATTAGGAATTTATTTTCAAAAAAACTTGTAATTAGTTTCGCAAACAAATTGTTTGTTTATTTATTTTTGTCATTATATACGGACTAAACATATGGTGAGACAAACCTTTGCGCCAAATCTTGTCAAACGTGGCCGACTTGTGTC